TTATGATCTTCTTAATTCATTTTTTTTTTGTTCTCTTTATAGGTAATGCCTGCTTTACATACGCATTTTAAGCCGGCTGAAGAAGGCTGGTCTAAGCAAGATGAAGATGATTTACAAGAGAAAACTTTTACAGCCACATTTCCGGCTTTCAAGTTTCCAGATCGTGAACGTTTGCATGTTAGTTGTGGAGTACAGCTATGCAAGGGACATTGTCCAAATGTAAGTAATAAAAATGATTGAAAATTCTACTTACATATGTATTATGCGCAATGTTAAGTCATTGCATATAATTGCGTGTGTAAATATTTTATTAACCATTTTTGAAAAGTCATGCAACTTAACATAACAAATGGCTACTTATGGAAAGTCATAGCAAACAATTTGTATGGAAAGCAATTGATTATATTATAAGAGTATGAAAATATTAAACGAGTAATTAAGAAGAAAAATAATTCATTAGAGATTCAGAGATAGAACGAATATTGAGAAATGCTCACTAGTTATGAGGAAACTAAAATACGGTGGCCAGCATATCTTCAATTCATGTTAGGCAGAACAAAACTTTTAGCACTCGGTACATTCGGATTGATTGATATATTGCAACAAAATGAAATTATATTTCCTTGCAATTATCTCGAATCATTGAAAAATTGACACTCATGTCAAACTCGCTCTTTAATCGTCTTTAAAATCCAGAAAAAAAATCGGGTAAGTTGCTTATGAGATTAAAGATGACATAACCAGCATATTTCTCGAAAGTTCGCATGTCTTAAAGGCATAGAATATTTTTCTATTCTTAGTATCACTGGTAATGAAAAATAGACTCGTTTTACGATAATGCTCACCGTTTAAGCCCGCTCGCCAACTAGCATGCATAGTTTCAGCTAAGGCGGACAGAAAAAGAGCTATCACTAAGCATAAACTATAACAAGTTTAGTGTATGCTCCACTGCTCGCTTCTGCTCTAATCAATTTGGCTCATTTTCAATACCAGTCATCGTGCAGAAACCTCCAAAAATGAGATCAATATCTTCATTTTTGCGACCAACAAGACATACACACCCACACACACAAATGCACACAGTATGGAAGTGTTACTATACTTGAGTTGAATATATGATCGTTTTCGTGGAAAAAGAATTGAACGGAGAATTAACGATATCGGATATAACCTCACTATTGGCCAATGAATTATTCAAAAGTGATTTTCACGGAGCGACGTTAGATCCACATAGGATTTTATGGTCGAGTCCTTAAAGTTTGAGATAGAAAGCTTAAGATTATGCTTAAAAATGATTATGATTTGCTTTGTAAGAGCAGCAAAGTCGAACAAAAAAAAAGGCAAACAACAACAAAATGTTGTAAACTTTTCATTAATTTTTTTTTCCTGAATAGCAAGCTTTTGTTTCCTTCACAGGTTAATTGCCGCACCGAAGAAAAACTAATTTTAAGCATCGATAAACATTTGGCACGCATTGATGTCTTTAATTCGCTAGCAGTGACAGCGCCGCAAATTGAAGTCGATCGGTTGCGTTATGACAGATGGCATAATATGTCGGGTAAGTAATTTTTGTTATGTTTGCTTTGCGTAATAAAATGTGCATATATATACAAACGTGTCTTCAACTCGTAACATTTTCACAGTCGAAGAGTATCCTCCTTACGTAAGGCCAATAGTAAATGACGGTACATTATGTTTATCGGTTTCCAAGCTGGCTTTATCGTTTTGCATACTGGGTTTAATATTTCTGGTCGCAATTATTGTCGCAATTTGCTCTTTAATACGTTCGCGTCGTCGTTTCGTACACTATCGTGGTGCGATACCACCGCATAGCGGGCGTTTGCAACACGCGGAATTGTGTACCTCTATGTTCTCTTCAAGGTAAGCTGTTAGTTGAAAAATTATCGTACATTTTATACAATATTTTTTTTTTTTTGTTGTTGTTTTTATTTTCTTTTATTTCATTTGCAGTAGCGATTCAGCGCAGTCAGCACGTTTTGGCAGTAAACTCTTTATACCCTATTATCCAAACGCTTTGCCATACGGCAGGGTCTACTGAAGGACATTACACATATCATTTTAATATTTTATATAATAGTTATTAAGTAAATTTAATTTATTTTAAAATCAATTCTAAACAGAGAACTAACTATCACTCAAGACTGATTTGTATATTTTTTGTATTGATTTTACTTCTGAGATTATCCAAGCGGTAAAGAATTTTGAAAACATTTTACTAATAAACTCAAATATATGTATGTATGCACAGGCATATATATGCACAGGCACTGTGAAATGAAATTAAAATATTTCGAATTGAGTGAAGTAAAATGTTTTTTTTGATTTTCTTTCATATTAAACACATAGACACATTACACATATATTATATAATCTAAGTTTAATTTTATGATTTATTAAAAAGTTAATGTATTTTAAGGAACGCTATTAAGATAGAAGAACTTGAGATGGGTCTTCCTAAGCAAATTCATCTCGAATTTATATTTAAATTATTATAACATATTGAAATTTTTTTTTTTTTTTTTTATTGGAATACGACAAACTCATCTCAGAACTGAATTGAGTTTTTCAAAATGTATCAAAAGTATTTATTTTGAATATTTAAATTGCTAAGCTTGAAAACTTCAAAAAAAAAAAAAAAAAAATTCCATTCGAAAATTTGTACAATTTATCCTGGTGCGTATTTATTCTCTTATTCGAATTCTCGAATGCTAGACGTAGCATATTTTTATAATATTTTAAAATAATTTATTTAAAAACGTTTACATAAAACCTATAATACAACGTGGTGTTGGTTTAATTTTTTCCCCCTTTTTCCAAAAGATCTATTTATTGAATAATATAAGTTGAAAATTGAAATAAAAATTCAATAAATAAGTAACATGAAAAAAAGGAACGGATACGGGTTTTGATGCTCTATTAATTGGCTTTTTATACCCTCGGATGTGTGTGGATGTGTGCATCATTCAGAGAGGCTTGAAATATATCCACCTTCTATTGTACCAATCTAAGCTTGTCTGTCCATCCGTCCTAAATTCAATAAATAAGCAAGATGAAAAAACGGAACGGATACGGGTTTTGATGCTCTATTAATTGGCTTTTTATTCCCTCCGCCACTTGTGATATAAAAGTATATTAAATTTGTGCGGATGTGTGCAGCACCCAGAAAAAGGGCTTGAAATATGCCCGTCTTTTATTTTACTGATCTAAGCTTGTCTGCCCGTCTGTCCGTTTTATATTGTTGTGTTCAACGTAAAGATCGCAAATTCCGAGACAAATTGATGAAAGTCGGTACAACGATATGTTCGTCATATGAAGCCTCATTTTGAATAACCGCATTAAATGACGCGGTGTAGAGTGTTTAATGGTATTTTTTATTTTTGTTTTCTTTACGTGAAGGATTAAAAGCAATGCTAAAAATTTTCTTAAAAGTGAAAATTTAATTAAAAATAAATCTAATAAAAGCAAATAAGAAAATTACATTCGGTCATGGACGAATCTTTTGTGGATACATCACCATGACCCTAAAAAAAGGAAAAGAAATAAATTTTCTTACTCTACAATATCGGGAAAGTGAAAATTTATATGGCATATGTGTTGTATTTTCTGAGTAACAAGCAAAAAACACGAAGAACAAAGGTTATTGTTATATAGGAGTGTGGGTGTATTGTGGGCCTTTATAAAATAAAAAAAAAGCCGCGGACGACATTGGATGCCGAAACC